GGCTTCCAAAATCTTCCCAAAATCTTCCCCCAAGTGGGAAGTGCTGCTGGAGGGGGAGTGTAACAGCAGGGGGGAGATTTTTGGGAGCGTTAGGGGGTTTTTTGGGGTTTATTCCCATTTTTGGAGGTTGTGACGTCGCTGATCAATTAATCAGGAAAATGGCAATAAATGGAGAGATTTGATTGGGGTTTGACCCCAAATGGCTCCCAAAATCTTCCCCAAATCGGGAAGTGCTGCTGGAGGGGGAGTGGAACAGCAGGGGGGAGATTTTTGGGAGCGTTTGGGGGTTTTTTGGAGTTTATTCTCGTTTTTGGAGATGTTGAGTTTTTGTGGCCAATTAATCAGGAAAATGTTAATAAATGGAGAATTTTGATTCTGATTTGACCCAAAAATCTTCCCAAAATCCTCCCCAAAAAATCAGGAAGTGCTGCTGGAGTGGAGGTGGAACACCAGGGGGTCACTTTTTGGGGTTATTTGAGGGTTTTTTGGGGGGTTTATTCCCATTTTTAGAGGCTGTGCCGAGACTCGCGGGGCCTTTTGCCAATTAATCAGGAAAACGTTAAGAAATGAAGATTTTTGGTCACGATTTGACCCAAAACTACCTGAAATGACCCCGAGGAAGGTCAGGGATGTTTTTTTCCCCAGAGTTTGGGGTAAAAAAACCTTTAAAGGGGAAGTGAGAGCGGCCAAAACGAGCCGGGAGGGGTTTTGGGGCGAAGATGCAAATGGCCGAGCCGGGGGCGCCCAAGCGCGGCGCCGCTTCCGCCCAACGGCACCGGAGACTCCTCCCAGCACCAGAAACTCGGGATTTTATCCCAAACTCTTCAAGGTCACCCTGGTGGTTTTAGCCATAAGCCCTAAAAATCCCAACCCCCCCAAAAAATCCCCCTGAAATCCCGAAATTCCGGCGCGTTCCGGCGTCGCCGTTTGGCCCCCAAGGCTCCAAAGCCAACGGAAGTCACCAAATCCTGGGATCTGCTGGGAAGGTGGATTTTTGGCACATGGAAGAGCCCAAAATGTCTTGGATATCCAGTGTGTTGGACGTGCAAATTCTTGGACATCCCAGGTTTTGGACATGGGAATCTTGGACATCCAAATCTTGGACATTCAAATCTTGGACATCCAATCTCTTGGATATCCGATGTCTTGGACATCCAATGTCTTGGATATCCAATGTCTTGGACATCCAAACTCCTGGATATCCGATGTCTTGGACATCCAAACTCTTGGACATCCAACCTTTTGGACATCCAAACTCTTGGACAACAATCCTCTTGGACATCCAACAGGTTGGAATCCAATCTCTTGAACATCCAACCTCTTGGACATCCCATGGTTTGGGCATCCAACATCTTGAAATCCAATCTTTTGGACCTCCAAACTCTTGGACATCGAATCTCTTGGACGTCCAATGTCTTGGACATCAATTCTCTTGGCCATCCAAAATCTTGGGCATCCAAAATCTTGGACAACATTCCTCTTGGACATCCAATGTCTTGGACATCCAAACTTTTGGACAACAATCTTCTTGGACATCAATTCTCTTGGCCATCCAAAATCTTGGACAACCAACTCTTTGGTCATCCAGAATCTTGGACATCAAATCTCTTGGACATCCAATGTCTTGGACATCAATTCTCTTGGGCATCCAACATCTTGGAATCCAACCTCTCAGATTTCCAACCTCTTGGCCATCCACCTCCTTGGCCATCCCAACTCTTGGCCATCCAGTGTTTTGGCCATCCACCTCCTTGGCCATCCCAAATCTTGGTTATCCACTGTCTTGGCCATCCAACTCTTTGTCCATCCCACCTCTTGGCCATCCACCTCCTTGGCCATCCCAAATCTTGGTTATCCATTGTTTTGGCCATCCAATTCCTTGTCCATCCCACCTCTTGGCCATCCGGTGTTTTGCCCATCCCAAATCTCACCCCCCAACCCCTGACTCTTCCCCCTGTGCCCTCCCCGTCGCGCGTCGTCGCCGGCGCGGCGCCGAGGAGGAACCGAAACCTCGGGGTGGCTAAATCGGGGCCCGGGGGGGGGGGGGGAGGGGGGAGGAGGGGATTTGGGGTTGGGGGAGGGGATTTGGGGCCGAGGGAGGGAATTTGGGGCCGAGGGTGTGCCGGGGGCGTGCCGGGGGCTCCGGCAAACCATGGCCCAGCAGGAGACCTACGGCAACTGGTTGGGCCCCCCCGCGCCCCCCAAACGCCTCACGAGGCAACCGGGTGAGTTTGGGGGATCCCCCTTTTCCAGGGGCTTTCCCGGGGCTTTCCCGGGGCTTTCCCGTGTTCTTTCCGTGTCCTTTCCGTGTTCTCTCCGTGGTGACACCAGAAGGCCCGGGAAGGGCACCGGCGGCGTCCCAAGGGCCAAACTCGTTTGGGGGGCCCTGGATTTGGGGGTTTCTCCGGCTTTTTCCCTGGATTTGGGGGTTTCTTTGGCTTTTTCCCTGGATTTGGGGGTTTTCCTGAGGATTTTACCAGGGTTTGGGGTTGTTTTCCCTGGATTTGGGGGTGTTTCTCCATGATTTTTACCAGGGTTTGGACTTTTTTCCCTGGATTTGGGGGTTTCTCCAAGATTTTTACCTGGATTTACATTTTTTTTCCCCTGGATTTGTGGCTTTCTCCAGCTTTTTCCCTGGATTTGGGGGTTTTCTCCAAGATTTTTCCCTGTGTTTGGGTTTTTTTCCCCTGGATTTGGGGGGTTTTCCAGGTTTTTCCCTGGATTTGGGGGTTTCTTCGAGATTTTTAGCTGGGTTTGGGGTTTTTTTCCCCTGGATTTTGGGGTTTCTCTGAGATTTTTACCTGGGTTTGGGGGTTTTCTCCAGGTTTTTCCCTGGATTTGGGGGTTTTCCTGAGATTTTTACCAGGGTTTGGGGTATTTTTCCCTGCATTTGGGGGTTTCTCCGAGATTTTTATCTAGATTTAGGGAGTGTTTCCCTGGATTTGGGGGTTTTCCCGAGATTTTTCCCCGTGTTTGGGTTTTTTCCCCCTGGATTTGGGGGTTTCTCCGGCTTTTTCCCTGGATTTGAGGGTT